AAACATATCCAAACGGAACTTTCAAACATTTCATGATGCACACGTATCCGACAAATGGTTCAAACTTTAACTTCTCAGCAATAAGTCGAGCAATATTGCACCGTGTTCGAATCACAAGTATATAGTCGCATTCTTACTAACATTCAATTATAATAATTTTTTTCTAATTATTAATATATTCATTATTTTTATTTTTTTATCGATTTCTGCGCAGTGCAATTTTAGGTTTTAAAGATCTTTCTGCAATTGATAATATTGAAATTTTATATAAACAATTAAATTATTTATTTTGAATATTTTAACATTAACAACACCATTAACAAAACAAGTGAATATAATTCCTAAAGAGTACTTATATCGTTATATACACAATGAATGGCCTATTTGACACATACACATGCAAATATATATACACACACACGCACACACACACACACACACATATATATATATATATATATATATATAATAACAAGCATCCATCCAGATAACGGGAAGAACTAAATTATATTTCTAAAAAAAATTAAGATTTCCATACGTTTCGTGTTCCAGCTTGGCGTTTCTACAGTGGATAAACGCTTGTATTACAAAGCAACAAATCGCTCCTAGCGTATTATATTAACTAATATTAATAATTAATATTATATTAACTAATATTATTAATTGTAATTATAAATTGTAATTGTTCCATTATTCTTGTTCGTCATATACAACAAGAAATTATTTATGTTCATAGTGAATGTAAGTGGTGTTCGTGCTTTTATGCTTCTCATATCGTTAAGTTCAGTTGTTTAAGTTATATGTAAAGTGTACAAAAAATCATGAAATGAATAAATACATCAAACGTCTTAATGTGTTGTACTGATCAGCCTCCACAGTTTGGTAACAGTTTTGTTAGCAGCAGTAAGAACCTACATACATGTTCGGCATCATCGGTGGTATTTTGGTGCCATCGGCAGTTCCTACAAAATATTTACGTTTTTGATCTTGGTTCCAAACAAATGAGCCATATCTCTTGAATTAATGCGGTGGAATCATTGAAAAATATCACCAAAATTGCTTTGATATACGAGAAATTCGACATGCGAGCGTGATTATGGAACGAATTAAGCTCGTAAGGCTCGTAAGGGGTATCACTGTATATATATTTATATATATTTTAAGTAATCAATCAAAATATTATAATAAAACACGGCAAAACTAATGTTTAACAATTACGCAAGGCTAAGAAAATATGTACAATGCATAAATAATAGAAACAACATTTCATAAAACAATTAAAAAGATAATACTAAAATTAATGAGTAATTAATGTTAAAAGTAATATGAAAAACATATATATTAAATAATAATTTAATTCAGCATTAAATTTTATGCTACACATTTATTAATATTTTTTTTCTATTATTACTTACCATATTACTTATTAATTTTTAGTATTATGATTTTAATTATTTCATGGAATATGTTATCATTGATTTATATTGTTATTTTTGAATGTAGCACTGAATATGAGTCAAACCCAAAACCAAAACGTTTGTAGTTTAACAAGGTCGTTTAGCTTTATTAATTTTTTTATTATTGTATGGATGCCTGAAAACATTCCATCATAATATATATATATATATATATATATATATATATATATATATATATATGTATATTTATGTATTGTCGTGATCCGAAATTATCAATCATATTCAATATATTATTTCTACTTTTTGCATAATAACTTAATCAATTTAGTAGTAGTTTACCATATCAATTATTGAGGAAATTTTAAAGTGTTTCATTTTCTACATGAGGAAAATTAGCGTTGCCTATTCTTTTTTAAACCTTTACTCAAGGTATCAAAATATTTTTACACACACTTATTTCTTTTAACTTTTATTTTCTCTAAACTTTTAATTATTAGAAGCTCAAGATCAATTGCGTTAGTGACATCCTAAACAATATGCTGTCAAGTGAAATAGAAATTCAAAACATCTTCTGATTTACCTCCAGCTCGAATTCTTATACATACGCACACACACACATACACACACATATATATATATATATATATATATATATATTAATTTGAAAAAATTATATATATATATATATATATAATATCCTTATATATAATTATTATTCTGTTTTAAGAGAAATCAATAACTAAGTTTTTGAAGGTTAAATATTTACATTATTAATGATGAATCTTGCTGTCCGATACATAACATCCTACTTTTACAATTACATTTACAATAGTGCCAATGACAGAAATGAGACGCAATTTTCAATATAAAATATTATTGAAATGTATTTTTTTTATTTTATACTCTAGGTACATTATGAATATGTATCAAGATCTTCATAATTTTATAACAATATTCGTAACCAACTTGTCAATTTCAACAAGGCGTAGAAAATCATTATTAGCATATATTTTCTTACATTTCAATGAATCTCTAAATGTCTTCGGCAAATTCTTCTAAAACTGGACTCAGCCTACAGTAAAATAATTTTTGTTTAGTTGTATTTAATCTCTTGATCGAAAACTGTAATGAATATAAGATTTCTTGAAAGAATATAATATATTTTCTCCAAAATCTCCCGAAGGCATTTCTAGATGTCTTGAAAGTTGATGTAATTTTTCTTATTTCCTCGGTACAAATCTTTTCGAAGAATTTCATATTCTTCGAAAAGTTGTAATATCCATTGTATTGTAGATGTAAAGATTCATTTTTTTGCAGTCTACATCAATGCAAATCGACGTGCTCTCAATCAGACAGCAAGGTGGCTTTATATTGAAACGTTGATTTTTTTTATACAAAATAAAACCGAGCAGATAAAAATATTTATAATGACAATTTTGCAAAATATAAAATTATCCATAATGACTTGACATTTAGTCACAATAGAACGTTAATCCGAATAAACAAATTGGATTTCGTTTAGTTTAGGAAACGATTAGTTTCGATTTTATATACATCTAAAATTTGCAAAAAAAGTTGATGCAACTGTTGAATAAACAATTGAAATCATGTTTTTGAATAATACTAGAAATATCATTTGTAATGTTAAATATAAGATTTTAACATAATGTTAAAATAAAACTTAAAATTTGAAACAATATTATTTTTAAAAATGAAAAATATAATTAACGCAAAACACGGACACATAATAGTCCAGTCATTTGGTGCAAAAAAAGGCTGTTGCCGGTACAGTACTCCGGGAATTCTGAAAATTGGTAATTTTATAGATTTCGAGGTGCTCTTTACGAAAATCAACTTTGCCACCTCAAATTTGAACGGCAAGTTGCCGCCATATTAGAAAAATGGCGTCAAAAAACAGTTTTTTTAAAATATCTCCTTTCTGGCTCATTCTACTATAAAAGTATTTATGTACGAATTAAACTAGGGAAAATTTCCTACAATTCCTTAGAACACTGTTTTTTTTGTAAAATTGATAGTTTGAGAGTACGGCCGCCTCAAAGTCTTTGCTGCTCTCGCCGTAGTATCAAATCTGTCCATATATGACAGCACTTCGAACTTGACCACATTCTCTCTAATAATTAATATTTTCAATGTTAAATTAAGCGAATAAGATCTAGAAATAAAATAATTCAAATATTTTTTAACACTTCAATGGCAAAGTAGCTATAAGTATACTTATAGCTTGAGTAGCACCTTATAGCTTCAAGTAGCTTGAAGCGTTAAAAATCAGCAAAAAAAACAGAAAAATATTTGAATTATTTTATTTCTAGATCTTATTCGCTTAATTTAACATTGAAAATATTAATTATTAGAGAGAATGTGGTCAAGTTCAAAGTGCTGTCATATATGGACAGATTTGATACTACGGCGAGAGCAGCAAAGACTTTGAGGCGGCCGTACTCTCAAACTATCAATTTTACAAAAAAACGGTTTTCTAAGGAATTGTAGGAAATTTTCTGTTGTTTAATTCGTACATATGCACTTTTATCGTAGAATGAGCCAGAAAGGAGATATTTTAAAAAAGCTGTTTTTTGACGCCATTTTTTCAATATGGCGGCAACTTGCCGTTCAAATTTGAGGTGGCAAAAATGATTTTCGTAAAGAGCACCTCGAAATCTATAAAATTACCAATTTTCAGAATTCCCGGAGTACTGTAACGGCAAAACGACCAAATGACTGGACTATAAGTATTATTTTAAAAGAAAAACTGACAAAATTTACATCCTTAATATGTTTTGTCATTTTTCAAAATAATATTGTTTGAAATTTTGTGGTTTGGTTTTTTTTGGTTTGATTCACTAAATTACTACACACATAAAGTATGAAAACGTATAAATTAAGAATCATTTTTAGTTCAGCGAACTATTTTTAATTTTGTTTCTGTATTTTTTCATTTATGAATGTTTTAGCAATACAAACTGAAAATGAATATGTTATAATTGTTCAAGTCATTATGTAAATTTATAAATATCTTTTGTTGTCAAAATTTACAACTATTTCTAACGTTCGTTTGAGTTTTTAAAGATTGATTAGCAGTTGTTAATATATATATAATAGTTCAATGGCTCTGTTTGCAAAATGAATGTCCTAGAAAAGCTGAGAATTGTTGTACTTGTTGCTGAGAAGTTAGAGGCGAAATGATTCTCTAATTCGACTAACAATACTTTGAGTACCCCGTTAAGTGCTTTGACTTCGGTTTGTTCTGGAATCGTTTCAATTACATCTCGGAACAAACCCATATGTGTAAAGGACAAATCACCAGGAAAACTTATCATATGAAGTATCTATCACAAATACTTAATTAATTTTATTATTGCATTATTGATTTGAAATATACAAATCACGATGTTTACGAATGTTTGTGATAAGTACATAACATCATTTTATACTTCGTATATTATTTCACAAATTGGGTACGTAACAATTAGATAACAGTTACTTATTTTTCAAATTTAATAGTGGCATGCGTATTTGTCTAGTAATTTTTTAAATAACGAAAGTTTTAATTAACAAACAGGTGTATTAGAAGAAACTCTTTAAGAAACCTGCTGGTCCCGCCTGGGTTTGCATGAAAGATGAGAAAATGATATTAATATACAAATATATTATACAATATTTTATATACAGACGTTTTCATAAATTTGATTATGATTTAATGCTATAATTTTATTATTTTTGCGTTTTTGCTCAAAATAAGAAAAATCATAAAATGTTTTAAAAAAGCCGATGGAATTTTATCGGATTTATAAAAATACCTAATGCAAAATTATATTTCACTTCAGGTTCACTCAAAAGTAGTATCGGTTTTTCACACACATAAATTCACACATAAGTTCACACATATAAATTTTCAACAGGTTTATGTTCCTAATCAATTGCATATTTATTCTAAGTGCAATATATATTTTGCTTTTTAAAATTCAAAATTTGAATTGCCAAAAACAAATTGCTTATATTTACTAAAGTTTATGAATTCGATATTTTAAATATATTTCAAATTTGCAATTTCTGTCACTGGATAAGTATTTAAATAATCTGAATAAATGAGAAACTGATTGATAAAACAAGTAAAATTGTTTTCTTATGTACCAAACTATTTAAAATAAATAAATCGGTTAGTACCTCATCTTTTTTCCTCAGTTCTTCTAATTGTTGTGCATGGGCTTGTTGCTGACTTCTTAATTTAGCTTGTGCATTCTTTAAGGCCCTGAAATATAACACATGGATGCTTAGATTTTATTTTAATTGGAGAAAAGTAGAAATATTTTGAAAACGAGTAATTATTATTGATCGTAAAAATTTGTTTTTAGTGTTCGCAATATCATCAATTATATATCTGTACACGTAGAAAAAATCTACAAACATACATTTTTTCAGCAAGCATTTTTTTATTGCTTCTATTTACTTCGTCATCTATCTACACATGGCATTAATAATTCATAAAGTACAAAAAAATAATATAACTAAGTTTTGTTATGGATTTGATCTAATTTACTACAGGCTAGACTATTAGTATTAATCATCCCTCTCACTAAAAAGTCTGATTTGTCTATGATCTGAACAATTAATAATCTTACTGTTGCAGTTCCATAATCGTCTTCTCCTTGCTATTTTGTTCCTCTTGACTCATCTGAACGAGTTGCAGTAGCCGTTCTAACTCCGCAGCAGAATGCTGTGCCTCTTCTTTTGCCTTATCAAGTTGCTGCTGGTTTGCCTCGAGATTCTTTTGTGCTTCAACTAATTTTTTATTTAATTCTCCCGCGGCCGCTGCTCCACCACCAGCCTATAAGGTAAATACACAATTAATGGACAATTGATATTGAATGTAAATAGACTTTAATTTAAAGAATAATATGAAACACTTATTAACAATTAATTATAAAATACATATTAATAAGGAGCAAACATGTTAATAAAAAACTTCAAATGCTTCAAAAGTCTAAAATCGACACAGACCTTTTTCAAGGAAGCCTCTAATTGGTCCATTTGCTCCTTGCGTTTCTTTAGTTGACGATCTAGCTCATTCAACTCCTTTTCTTTCTCTTCTACTTCTTTACGTTTGCTGTCAAAGTTTTTCCTTTGTTCGTCCAAGTGTTTCTTCATATCTTCAATATTCTTCTTTTCGTCTTCAAGTTGTTTCCTCATAGCGCCGGTGTTGTCATGGGAATTACTTTGACTCGATTGTAGTTTCTTATTTGCTTCGTGTAGATCCAACTGCAATTGTTTTGTTCATTGCATATTGTGATTTTGTACTGTATATTATTTTAAACTGAATAAATGCGCTAACAAATGGTATTAAAATATCCAATATATTTTAAAGACGTAGCATAAACTTAAAAAAAAATGTATACATTCATATTGTTTACCTGTGATTTTTCAAGTTCCTGTACCAACATTTCCAGTTGCGATTGGAATCGTTCTCTTTCCACAGCAGCGTTTTTAGCTTCTGTTTGTGCTTTTTCTAATTCTTTGCGCAACCTCTGCTCTTCTTTGTTATCTTGTTGAATGCCTCCTGATTTTTGATACTGCGCCATCTGCACCAATTGCTGCTGAAGTTGTTGTTGTTGGGTTTGTAATTGTTTTTCCATCACTTGTACGCGTTTTTGAAGTTCTCCAGATGCTTTTTCTGCTTGTTCTGCTCGTTGTTTTAGCGCATCTCTTTCTTTCTGAAGAGCCGCGCTTTGTTGTTGTAACTTACTGATTTCTCTATTTGCCGCTGCTTCTTTATCGTTACCGGTTCTACGTTGATCTTCTCTCAATCTTCTCACTTCTTCTCTTTGGCGTTGTAGTTCTGCTTCAGAATGCGTTAATTCTTGTTGGAAGTTCATAAGCATATCTTGTGATTTTTCCAACTGTGCGACAAGTTGATCTCGTTCCAATGTGAGTTGTTTTGCATCAGCTTCAAATTTGACTATCTTTTTCTCGATTTCATCAGCTTGAATGTCTCTCTTTTCTAACATGGCAGCTATCTTTTCTCGATCTCGCATTGACTGTGCTAATTCTTGTTGCAATTTGGCGACACCTTCTTGATTTCTTTGTTGATGACGCGATTGTATTTCTACTCGCAACATTTCGCGCTCTTGTTCTAATTGTCTTACATCTAATTGTGCACGCTCCAATTTTTCGTGCATTCGTGTTAACTCTGTGGACATGCGATCGAATTCTATTCTAGCTGCTTCGTTACTTTCTTGATATTTAGCCAGATGCATTTGCGATTTTTCAAGTTCCTTTGCTAAACGCCCGGCTTCTAATTCAGTAGCATCGCGTGCTTGAATTGCCTTTTCCAAACGATCTCGCAATCTTTCGGTTTCCATACGTTCTTCTGCTCTCGTTTTATCACCTTGTCCTTTGTATCTTTCTAATTCAATCTTTAACCTTTCGTTTTCTTTCTCTAATTTCTCAGATTGCAACATTAATTTCTCATGTCTATCTCTAACCTTTTCACATTCGATATGTGCCCTTTCTAATTCGGCACGCTGTTTGTCCTGAGCTCCTGACAATTTATTAACTTCTGCTTTAGTTATGTCCAATTGCATAGTAACCTCATGCAAACGGCTTTCAAACTGCTCCGCACTAGTTTGTGCACGTACAACTTCTTGCTGACTTGCTTCTAATCTTTCACGCAATTTCTCGGTTTCGTTTGTCCATTTTTCGTGCTCGAATTGATATTTGCCCCTGAGACCTTCTAACCTTGTCGCTTCAGCTTCGTTCTTTCTGGATCTCTCTAATTCCAACATCGTTTTGTCTAGTCGATCTCGCAATCTTTCCATTTCTGATTTCATTCTGTCATATTCTTCCTTGCTTCTTTCATGAGTATCTTGGTATTTACCAAACCTGCTTGCGTAACGATCGGCTTCCTCTCTGGCAGTCTCAAGTTCGGATCTCTGTCGCTCCAGATCTGATTGCACTCTTCTGAGTTCGGCTTGTGATTTGTCATGTTTATCGTACATTTTCTCCAGCTCGATTTGCATACGGGCTATCTCCTCTTGACTTTTCTCGTTTGCCGCTTGGGCTTTGGCGCATTGAGAATGAGCTCGTTCTAATTCGAAGGACATTCTTTCTGTGTCCGTTTGTAAGTTTTCTCGTTCAGTTTGTACGCGACGGAGTTCTATTTGAGATTTATCGTAGCGTTCTCGAACCATTTCTATATCTACCGATAATCTGTCAATATCTTCTTTAGATTTTTCTTCGAGTTCTTTTGTTCGTCCTAGTTGTAATGCGGCACGATCATAAGCTTCTTGTATGCGAGTAGCTTCGTCTTGAACTTTTCTCATTTCTTCTTTACATTTTACAGCGATATGTGTTTGTTTCTCTACTTCTAATTCTAAACGTCCTTTATCGGCTTCTAAAACCTCTATGCGGTTTTGGAGACGGTACACCTCGTTTTGAGATCTGAAACATGCCATATATTTTATTTATTATCACTACTTATTTGAATTAAATAATTTGTGTAATTTAATATTACCTATCATATTTCTCCAACATCTTCTCGAATTCTTTATTAGCGTTTTCTTTTTCATCTAAAGTTTTTTGAGAAGCGTATAGGGCTTTGTCAAGTTTTTCTTTCAAAATATCAATTTCTGTTTGAGCATCATCTCTTTCCAACTAAAATTAAGGACAACTTTTGTAATAGAATAATAAATAGCCTCGTTAGTGAGAACGAAATAAATATAACATTATAATAGAAGAGATATGATATCTGATGAGTTATGAATGATTTACTTTGAATTTTATAATTTCAATTTTTTTGTTTAATAAAATTTCTCTATCATTGCAGCAGTAAATCATGTTTATTATCTATATATGGTAAATTTAAATTTAACATTTAATATGTGGTAAAATTTTCACTTTGCTAATATTGATAGATCTGGCTATAATTGAATTTTTGAAATAAAATATTAAGTGTTACAAAATTTAGTAATGCCAAATGTTAACCTGAAGTTTTTGTAGTTGCGTGTGTGCTTTGTCCCATCTATCTTTGATGACTTCTAATTCTGTCTGCATGCCTTCTCGATCTCTCTGACTCTTCAGGAATTGCGATTGCTGGAATTCGATCCTCTCCTTCATCTTCTCCAATTCTTCCTGGAAGGCGTCTCGTTCTTTTTGAAGACGGGTAGCTAGATTCTGAAAACATGCGCAGTATTTTTTTATTTATATAGGATCTTAGTGAGCAAATGAATTCTTTAATATTAACTTTAATATATATATATATATATATATATATATATATATTTAAATAACGTAACAACATTTTTTTCTAACGCGCCACTTTTCAATTATAATAGTAAATATTATTTAATAAGCGTAATGAGTATTTTACCTGCGCCTTTTCATATTTGTCACGCAATCTATCTAATTCCAATTGAGAAGTTTCCCGTTCCTTTTGCATTCTTGTCGCTTGTCCTAAAGCTTTATCTAGTTGTGACTGCAAGTTTTCGAAATCGTAATTCTGCTTCTCCTTTTCCAATTGCATCTGAAATAACATAAAAAATTAGTCGTTTATTGATTATGAAATATCTTAGATATAAATTATGAAATTTCTTACCCGTCTCATTTCGCCCAAAGTTTTATCCATACGTTCTTGTTGCTTGTCCATGTCGCTTTGTACTTTATCCAGTGCATTTTGTAATTTATCTTGTTGCAATTGAGCTTTTCCTAATGTCGCTTGTGTCCTTTCCAATTCCTCTCTTGATTTTTCCAATTCTCCGGCTACCTTGTCTCTTTCGGAATGCAATCGGGCGATGTTAGTAGTAGCTCTTTCGTATTCTTGTCGTAAACTTTCCTGTTCGCCTTGAGTATTTTCGAGTCGTGCCTTCAGTCTGTATACTTCTCCCTGAGACTTCTCCAGTTTTTCTTGCAAGGAAGCCGCTTCACTGCGAGCTCTTTCAGCATCCGCTTGAGTCACTCTTAATTCGGCTTGAGCACGTCTCAATTCAGCTGCCGATTTATCAGCTCGTTCTTGTATTCGATCGAGTTCCTGAGACGTGGTCAACGTACTTCTGCCGAATGTCGTTTGCGATCTTTCTAAATCATGTCGCAGACGTTCGTTTTCCAATTCTAATCTCGTGAGACGTTGTTTTGCTGCTTCCCAATCGGCGCCACTTCTTCCTACTTCTGTTGCTGCTTTGTCAAGTTCCGCCTTGGATTTTCCAAGTTCCGATTGCGAGCATTCTAGTTTACTTTCCAGTCGATCTTTTTCCACTTGTGCCCGTTCTAACCTTGCGCCCAGTTTTTCGACTTCGCTGTCCAAGGCGTGCAGCTTCATTTTGTATTCAGCAATTTCGCGTTCGTGCAATTCTCTCTCCTCGGCCTTTTCCTGCTCGGCGCGATCGCGCTGCTCACGCAATTGAGTCATCTGTTTTTCTTTGTCCCCGATCGCTTCCTCTAAACTTGATAGAGCTCCTTCGGACGAACAGTGATGGGCCTGCATGGCTGTAAGACGGGCTCGAGCCATGTCGACCTGATTGTCCTTCTCTTTTAATAGGTCTTCGAGATTCTCAATCTAAAGTTTTAACAGAAAATGATTGGTCAGAATTTATCGAATTTTTAACAAAATAAACTAATTATAGTCGATAATCTCCTATTTGTTCATTTTATAGAACTGGTGGAATAACTTTGTATCTATTGGTCGATTATTATAACATAAAATCTACAAAACTATTTTTCCATTTAAAAAATGCATCATAGGACTAAATGCTTATTTACGTTATTAGTTTTTTTATGTTATAAGTGGAGCCGGTTCTATTGTCTTGATTCTTTAAAAAATATCAGTAGTAAATGATTCTTTAGTTTATAGTAAAAATCGTTCAAATATTCTTCATAATGAACAATTGAAAATTTTATTTATCTATTTTTCAAAAGGTTTTTGACCTATTTTGAAAAAAATATTTTCATATATAATTGAATAAACTATCTATTTCCACTGATAAAATTTCTTTCTTGTCATAACGTAAGACTAAACAATTTCTTCAATATGAAGGGATAAGAATAAACTAAAACAAGTAGACAACAACTTAAATATATCCAGAATCGTGCTCCAACCGTCTTTCTGGTTTTTTAAACTTATGTTAGTCAATTAGTAAGATAAGAGAGCAAGCTTATACAAGAAAACAAAAAAATATATCAAGAACATTTGTCAAACATTGAGACAACAAGTATCTATATATTTTAATATCTTCAAGGGCTTCAAGTATTGCAAATCGACAGCGATCGATTATTGTCGAATATCTATGTAACGTTTACCTTTCTCTGAAGGACATTAATTTTTCTGTCCTTGATGTCCATGTGATCCTTAAGTTCGGTGAGTTCGTTATTAACTCTATTTCTGTCTTGCGCTGCTTGGAGAGCGTTTTGCGTTTTCTTATCGATTAGACGGTTTTTTTCTTCTAATCTCTGACGCAGTTCTTCAACCTGTTCGCACGCATATGCAAAATAAAAATCAGATGCTTCGAATAAATTATGAAATGTATATTTCTCATATACATATATACTATAAATATATATATATATATATATATATATATATGATAATGAACATTATGATGTATTTGATTAATTGTTTGGTGTTACTTTCCACATTGGCTAATATTATTTCACAGAGCAATATTTAATTTACTCAAAAAAAAACTTATGTTTTTTCCCTAATTTTTTTAGCAATTTGAAGTAATTTTCAGTGCAACTTACTTCTAAATAGTTCAAATGCATTCAATTTATTTTTAAACGATTTGTAACATTTTCAAATCCATTCTTTGGATTTTTTTTCTTTTTATTGTACTTGATTAAGAGCAAAGCGCAAACACATATTTTTATATAAATATTATATTTGATTATATATATATATATATATATATATATATATAAAGCGTAGGACGAGGCACAACGTTCCAATTTGATTTTCACAACAAATAATGTGTGTCAAACAAGCAACTATTTAAAATTCCTAAGAAAAATTTTAAGTATAGAAATTTTTTTTTTTACTTTTTTTCTAAAATTAGGCAGCTAAGGGGCAAACAGATCCAACATTTTATTTTTAATTTCATTCAACCAATGCAAAATATAAATTTGATGGGTACATTTTTTCCGGAGACATCAACACTATATATAACCTTGATTTTGTATTTTGTCATAAATATTCATCAGCAGTGTTGGGGTAACTATTTATCTTTTGTGAAACTGTTTTTAACCTAATTTATTTTTTTATTTAATATTTTTTTACCTGTTTTCCAATATAAAAATTTAGTTGGTCGTTTTTACCTCATCCACATGTAAATTTTCATAGAGGTTTTATAAAAAACTTTTGAACCTAACATAAATTATATAAAGTATACTTAAAAATTATAAACTAAATAAGAGATAGAAAAGAGATAAAAGCGATAAAAACTACCAATGAAAAAAAACTTTTGTTATAAATGTTGATACATGACTGTTAATCTCCTTATAGCGACGTCGTAAGAATTAACATAATGGCTGTTTATACATCATTTACCTTCTACTTTGAAATGGCGTTGATAGAAATAATCTGTACTACTTGTTACTAAGGTAGTAATGGTGGTGGTGGACCTCTTTACCCGCGCAGCTTTAAGCCGCCCGCTCTATCATATATATATATATATATATATATATATATATATATATATATATATATGTAAATGAAAATAAAAATTCCACTCACGTCCGATTGCAGCATGTTATAGTGTTCTTCCTTGGCACACAGGGACTCTTTCAGAACTGCGATATGTCTTTGATAATCCTGATGCTGCTCCTCCAAAGTTTTCATTTTGGCAGCCATTCCAAGAATTTCTTGGTCTCTTCTTTGAATTTCGACTCGGAATTCGTCCAACTGTTTGCGATATTATAAAGCTAATACGATTACAGAATGTTGTACAAAATTAAATTTTCGTCATGCATTGATAAACCAATCGATTACCATGATATCAGTGTACTTATGTTAATTTATTTAATAAGTTATCATGTGCTTTATGGTGTACTTATAAGAGCATGCCATGCCGTTGCAAGACTACAAACGCGATTATTTTTATAAAATATCCTACCTAAGATTTTAAAGTGAATAAGTGCATGCCGAGCTTAATCACGATCAAATTACAAAACATTTGAATGTTTGTCCCATGGAGACGAAATGTGTGTGCATGATATGTTGGCGTTCGTGTCAATAGTGTGGCAAAGAAAGAATATTTATCGGACGGTGTGCGAAATAATAAGGATGTGAATTATGAATGAAAGTCCTGTGATCGAAAGAGGCCGGGCTCGTTTCGGGGGGATGTCTGCAAAAGCGTTCCGAATGCGTCGCGCTGTGTCTCGGGCGGGTCGTGGTGACTTACTTGTCGTTTGAGAGGCTCATGGTGAATTGGGTACGTTATGGGTCGGGTAAGAGCGTCGACGAAGTCCGGTTGAGGCTGAGCTGCTATGGGGCTGCTCAAGAGAAGTCCTTCTCTAAGCGAATGCAGCATTAGGTCAGACGATTGCTGATGCTGGTGACCTGGATCGATAGATCGCTCCAATAACGCGACCTCTTGTTCGAGAGTCGCGATCCGCGCGTCCTTCGTCTCCAATATTGCCGAAACGGTCGCCATGTGGGGACGGCCGCCTCGGCCCAACAACGCCTTCTCGAGTTGGTTTTGAACGGTTCGGAGCGTCTCGTTGGCCGCTTTGAGCTCCTTCAAAACATAGGGGATTGCCTTCAGTACAATTTAGGCCTTATAACTTTCTCCACGTACCCGGCGATTTCTCACATTTTATGACATAAGAAACAACATCGCCTATAAACTGATACACAAGATCGATTTGCTGACTCTGAAATGATTCTATTGATGGATGATCATATTTAGATGTCATGTATTGTAAAATCTATACGTCTACAAATTTTGCTAGTTAACCATTTATTAAATATCTACAATAGAGATAAGATATTATGATTTAAGAATTTTTAACTAGATAAACATTTTAATTATAAGTCACTCACTAAATGTATGTCATTAGATTGATCTTGTGTATGCTACGATGATTAGACAATGTTCTGACTAAAATCTTTGTTAAACGCAAAAAATTTAAATTTCACATAGCTTCTAATAATAAATGTATCTTAAGCAAAAAAGCAGAATGTTTACTTAAAAGGATATAGCTTAGACAAGACTGCCTATTGTTGGCATAAGTCTGTTTTTAAATTGACCGTTGCAAGTCAGGTCTCGTTGAAAGATAATTTTAATACAATTTTACAATAACATTATATATAGAAATAATCAAAATGAGAGAAGGAAATGGATTTATCGCGCAACAATAGAATTACTGATTTGTTTGAATTCATAACTAATGTATTTGATTGTAATTTTAATATTTATGATGCATGTGGTGATTTTTTTTGTGAATCGCAAGATTCATAAAATTGCTTTTTAATTGGCATATTTTTGCCTAAGATAAATTTATTTTATTGAATCTATGCAAAGAGTAAATCTTTTTGGATAACTGGATAACAATCATTTTCTTCTTTTGCCAAAATGGAGATAAAGCGATGTTGTCCATACTATTTAAAATTTAAACATTCTCTGTAATTGATATTGATTTTGTTTAAAATATATTATCTATTGTTAATAGATAGTATATGTGCAATGTTTACTGACTTGATGTAGAATAAAAATTTTGTTTAGCAAGTGCTAATAAGCGTTAAACAAAATTTAATATATAAAAGAGGTAAATGAATCAATTATGTATCGTTTTGCATACTCTAGTAGTTACACTAGGATTAATTGAAAGATTTTCTTTTTATAGGTACCTAATATTTACTGAGTTTTAGTTTGGTGGTTATCAAATTTAGAAATTGTTTCGCTATAAATATAGACTATTATTTTATAATTTATGCTCGATATTTTCAGTTTTTATTTATTTAATAGTGGAATTTCTTACGGACCAGACGTTACTATTACACTTACTAGACTTCTAATTTTTATCAAGATTTATGCCAACCATGAATAATGTCACCAAGTTTTTTTTTTAAAGAGATAAATAAACCGAGATAAAACTTGGCGCTTCTCTTGTAGCCTAAATATTATTTAGGATCAGATGTCAACAATAAAATTTACTAGAATTAGCTTTGCGTCAACTATCTCTGAAATTTTTTCAGTAATTCTCGATTAATAAATGGACAAGATCGCCCTTTTGGGTACCGGAGAGTTAATTTATGTACTGATAGAATAAATAATACAGAGTGCAGGATAACATTGCACATACATTCACCATCGAAAAAATTAATTACGACGAAATTATGATCCCGTACACTAGTCAGGACATTTTCATGCGTTTTTAGCAGGACATAGCAAATAATATTCGAATTGTGTCACTTTCTGGCAGTCATCACACGCAAAGAATTTTTGGTTTTTACATAGTTACTAATTGTGCTTTTATAGAAATTCTATAGAATTTTTTGTTTGGCCTAAAATAGCATTTGTATTTCAGTTTTATCTTTATTCAAAATCAGTATGTTACTCACAAATAACGCTGCAAATAGAAATATAATTTTTGGTTTCATTTAATCTGTTGAAATATAGTCAATTACTATGTGTAGATTGGATTTTTCTTTATTGTAAAACTGAGATTTTATGGATGAGTATCTGAAGTGTAGCCATTTACAAATTGTACGTGCAAATTTTAAAATCACTGGTAAAATATTGTTAATATTTCAAACCACACGATTATTTTAGAACAATTTTTTTAGATGTAATTACCAGTAAAATCGAAATCGGTCTTCAAATTCAATCACCATTAGCGTTTGATAATCAAGCAAGTGCTCTGTCCGCGTTGTTGTATTTTATGGCATCATAAAACATTTTTAAAGTATTATTTGTGAAATAACTGAAAGTATTATGGTATTTTGATATTTATTTTGAGCTATATTACTTTTGAAAGATTTGTTTGGTAAAACATCAGTTCAATAATTTGAGTTGGAAATAGCGCAATCACGAAAAAAATATTAAATTAAGGGCTAGATAAAAAAAACGGTTTATTGATGTTGTAAATGGATAGCTATCTATCTTTCTCAATGATTGGTTCAGCATTTGCAAATACTTTTGCGCCAGTTGTTGTAGTTGATGAAAGTTTTAAAATTTTATGCAGAGGCTGCCAATAAATATTTTGCCAAAAAAGAAATTAAAATACCAAATAAATATAATTTTAGATGTATACTTTTTGATTTGGTCTTTTCAACACGGCTTTAAAACCTCGTTTACATTCTAAGTACTTCTATTCTTTCTATATATATTCATTTAATTTATTTGCATCGATAATTAATAACTTTGTTAATACTTCAAATATTAATAAGCATTTGTCCCGAAACAATTAATCTTATTGGAAAAATTAATGATAAGAAGTATGACATGGCATAGAGGAGAACATTGCTTTTATGTATTTAATAGGCACAAACTAAAACAATTGTAAGATATTTAGTGAATGAGATTAATAGTTTTGAAAAATTGAGTTAACGAAATCTAAATGGTACGACGATTCTAGTACATGTAAGATAAGTTCTACATTATTCTGAATGTATTTGAAGCTCAGGATGAAATTATTATGGCTTTGTTTTTAATATGAATGCCGGTTATTTAGCAGAGTTAATTATTGGTAAAAACTATATAAAAATCATAAATTATTTGCGCATGACATTATAGAAAAAATGTAAGAAATTTAATTAATTTCGCCATTTCACCACGGTGAAATATAATTTTGTAAATTATTTTAATAATTTGAATATTATAATTTTACTTTTTACTGATTTTGTTTACCAGCTGCATTAAAATACATTTTTATACATCCATTAAATTCTCAATCATACAGAAGTGTTAGAAAAAGGATTTGTTAGTGGAGGTTAAAAGAGTAAATAAATATGAAGAAATTTGGGTATTGTCTAAAACAATTTGTGCAAGTGCAAGAAAATACTATTTGTTTTTTTTTGAACTAAGTAGTGAAATTTATAGTGTTATAGTTATAGGTTTTGTGTATAAAACTTTGATTTTGGCTCTACAAAAGAAATCAGTATCATTATATAACATATAAGCCAAACCCAACAAATACTCATCGAATCTCTTTCTGTAACTGTGTTAACTAGATGAATATTTGAAATATTTATTTAATGCTTATTCGAATTTCTAGGTTCACAAATGTTGCAAATCATCAGTTGCAATAAGGAATGCTTCTTGAAGTCAAAGAGACATTCGTTAGCAGATTAAATAGAAGACAAGAAACTGAAATTACGTTACTTTTCGTGTAGATTTTGAAAATTACCTGATTGTATAGTAAAATTTCTATATTGCGTTATAGGATAGCTGTATTTATATAACTATATTTTATGTCATCATTTCCTTAGGAAATATAACTTTTTTTCAATAATTTTACTTCAACAAATTAAGAGTTCATTATTTTATTGAAATTAAACTAAAATTTGCACTTAATATTAAATTTTTTGTCAATTTTTTGCATATGTGAATGATTATTTTTGACCGCAAAATGGCACTATTTTTTTTATTGAATCTCCGAAACTGCTGGACTTGACTTCTCTACATTTTAATCCGTTTTTCATTTTGACAATACAAACATGTTTGAATTATTCAAATTCGACACTGCGTTCTCTCATACTGAATTACCATAACTTACATACATACGTACATACAGGGTGGCTGACATGTATTGCAACCAATTTCAGACTGCTATCATTTCTAAACCGCTCATCAAACAGTTGACAGATTTATTTCAGTGACTGTTTATTTAGTTGTTTACAAGCGTACAAAAGCATTTTGATCTATCGCATTCAGCAAAAAAATTATTCTTGATGGAAGT